CAGTGCCTCAGGGAAAAGGAAATAATCACATCTTTCAGAAAGTACTGGGCATTGGCCCTGGACTGACACTGATTTCAGGAGACGATCAATGGAGTTTCAGCTAAGGTCTGACTCACAGTGGGTCCCGTGGGTCCCTGGATGCATCCTGTGTTCACTTCCCCAGTTTAGAAAGCATAATTGGAAGAGATATACCTAGCAAGCTGGCAGAACCCTCACATTGCTTCCCTAAGCTGTGGAGCGAGGTATTATGGAAGGAAAGGCCAAACAGAAGCCATTAGCCTGGCCTCTACCTAGGGACGTAGTAAATCAAAGGGAACACTGCTTCTCTAGAGGGATTTCAGAGATTGATGCCACCTCTAAGGACTGAAAAGCTGCAGGGTGATGATTTCCATCACAATCCCCATTCAGTGCTCCCATTTGGCTTGTGCAGCAGACGGATGAATCCTGGAGAATGACAGTGGGTTATCATAAGCTTAATCAGTGGTGACTCTAATTGCAGCTGCTGTACCAGATAGGGTTTCACAGCTTGAGCAAATTAACACATCTCCTGTTGCCTGGTAGGCAGCTATTGATATGGCAAATTCCATTTTCTTTATTCTTGTCTATAAGGCCTGTGAGAAATAGTTTGCTTTCAAAACACATTTACCATCCTTTCCAGGCCTGAGTCACCATGTAGCTTGCCAGGATCTTTTTTATTTTGAGTATTTTTTTTTTATTTTTCAAATTAATACAAGTGTATACTTTTTAGGTTACATTGTTCTCATTTCCAGGGTAAAGTTCCATTTATAGAGGAGCCCCTCACCCAGGGGGTGTGTTATACACCCTCATGATGTGCACATCAGGTGAGATCCCGCCTCAGGCCCTCCCTCCTTCTGCCAAATGTCCTCCCCCACCCCTCTGCTTCCTTTTATCCCGCCCCCCCCCCACTGGACTGTATTCATGTTTTATTCTTCTTAAGAGAATGTAATTATTTATATATTGATTTCATATTAGTATGGAGTATGTTTAATATTATTTTCTCATTCTTGCGATACTTTACTAAGAAGAATGTATTTCAACTCCATGCAGGTAAATGTAAAAGATGTAAAGTCTCCGTCTTTTTTTTTTTTTTTTTGTATTGTGTTCTTTTAATCTTATAAAATACTGCTGGAGTGTGAAGAAGGTAGGCGCACAGCCTACAGACACATGAAAAAATGCTCATCATCTTTAATCATGAGAGAAATGAAAATCAAAACCACTTTGAGATATCATCTAAGTCCAGTAAGAGTAAGCCCACACAACAAAATCCCAAAACTACAGATGTTGGTGTGGATGTGGAGAAAAGGGAACACTTCTGCACTGCTGGTGGAAATCCAAGCTGATACATTCCTTTTGGAAAGAAGTTTGGAAAACACTTAAGGAACTAAAAGTACACCTGCCATTTGATCCTGCAGTTCCTCTACTAAGTGTATATCCACAAGACCAAAAATCATTTTACAACAAAGATATTCCATCTTTTTTAATGGCTGAATACTATTTGATGGTATACATATACCACAGTTTGTTGATCCATTCATGGGTTGATGGGCACTTAGGTTGCTTCCATGACTTGACAATTATGAATTGAGCTACAATAAGCATTCTAGTGCAAATAGCTTGCAGGGATCTTGATGGCCTTTCCCTTCCAAAAGATATCACTCTGGTCCATTGCATGGATTGCATCATGCTCATTGGACCTGTTGAGTGGGAAGGAGCAGCTACTCCAGATGTGGTAAGAATTTGATTACAGAGAATGAGAAATAAATACAATTAAAATTTATGGGCTTTCTACCTCAGTGACATTTCTAGGTGTCCAGTGGTATGAGACATGTTGATACATCTCTTCTAAAGTGAAAGATGAGTTGCTGCATCTGGCTGCTCCTACAATCAAGAAAGAGGCATAGTGCTTATTGGACCTATTTGGATTTCTGAGGAAACATTTGGGTATGTCTTTCTGGCTCACTTACCAAATGACCTAAAAAGCTGCTAGTTGGAGTGGAGTCCATAATAGGAGGAGATTCTGCAATAGATCTGGGCTGCTGTGCAAGCTTCTTTGCTATTTGGGTCATATGACCCAGCAGACCTGATGGTACTTGAGGTATCAGTGGTAAATAGCAGGGCTGTTTTGAGCCTTTGGCAGGTCCTTGTAGGTGAATTGCATTTCAAGCTTTTAGGATTTTGGAGCAAGGCCCTGCTATCATCCATAGATAACTACTTTCCTTTTAGTTAGAATGTGGTCCTTCACATTCTCATGATATTGAAATTCAGATCGTAAGATTTAAGCAAAACTCTCAGGGGAACATCAGATGGTATGAAGCCCCAGTTTTTGTTTGCTATAAAATACACTGACTTAACAATATACAACCAAAATACCTTTATGAGAACTTATAGGAATCTGTTAAGAAATATGAATATACCGGGTGAGTGCAAACCTGAGAACATCTACACAGAAACAGGTAAGAAGAGCTGTTTTACTTTACATAGCTCAGTGCCCACCAAGTGGTTTTTCCCTGAGTTGGGGGGAGGTGAGGAGTAGGGAGTGAGGAGAGTGAAACATGTGCCTGACATTTCATGCCTGACTTGGAGACGTAGAGTGCTGACAGAACCAGCCTAGTTAAACATCTGGGGCCTGCCAAAAGCAGGCGTTGGGGTGTCCCTGTGGCACCAGAGGGCTTGCAGTGGTACAGACAGAGCCTAGTTACAATTGGAAGAAGGTGCTCAACTTCATTCTGGGAAGCGTGGGAGAAGGGAATGAGCATTTAACATTCTGGTTTTCCACTGGTATTTGTCTTAACTGATTTGGGGAGTTGGTGGGGAGTGGCACACTTTGGACATCTGGGAGCGAGTAGATCAAAGGAGAGTGGGGCAACTTAAAGTAACAAAGGATGTACAGTGCTGGAGACAGACACCAGAGAGAATAAGAAACAGGTGAACTTTGCACTGCCTGCTCCCAAAGTGTTTCAGAGGCCCCTCAGCATCTCTCATTAGGCTACTGATTAGGTTTACTCATTAGGCTTCCCCTGCTTTTTCAAATGCATACAACTCAGGGGGAAAAAATACCACAGGGCACATGAAGAAACAATGATGTCCCAATCAAAGGACCAAAATAAATCTCCAGGAACCAACCCAAAGATACAAATATCTATGAATTTAATTGCCTTAAAGCAGTTCAGGAATCTATAAGAGAACACAGACACAAGCAAAATTAGGAAAGTAACGTATGAACAAAGTGAGAATATCAACAAAGAGAAACTATAAAAAATCAGATTCTGGAACTAAAGAATACAATGACTGAATAAAAAAATTCATTAGCCGAATTCAACAACAGACATAAGCAGAATTTGCAAACTTGAAGACAAGTAATCTAAAATAATTGAATCAAAGAAACAAAAAGAAAAAAACACAAAGTAAAGTAAAGAGACTATGGGAGTATGGCACGTCCTTAAGAGGACCAATATATACATTATGGGGGTTCCAAAAGGAGAAGAAGGATACTTCAGAGCTTACTGAAGACATAAGGGCCCCAAACTCCCCAAATCTGAGGAAGAAAATACCTGACAACTGATTCTATTTCTGATGGCTTTAAAGTGGGTTTTACCGTCCACGTGAACTTATCCACTACTTTGGGTTACTTGCGTTCAGCAGAGGAACAAACATCATAAAGAATCAAACCTGCAGCTGTTAGTATTGTGTTTGGATAATGGCAGAAAGGAGAAGCCAGACTCCCAATGAACAGGTTTGGGGGAAAAAGTATAGGAATGGACAATTTCCCCTTAGACCTAGTGAACTCCCATGGTAGTAAGTTAGGAGAAGAAAAAAATATCCAATGTTCAGACTTTACAATAATGGATATGATACCATTGATAATATCTCCCTTTGCATGAATCTGCTTACCAAAGAGTCAAGAATACCTGGACGTCACTTCAACTGTCCTATGACCTTGTGCAATTTGCTTTTTAACATGGTTTTTCAAAGTTACATAAAATGAAAGCAATAGCAAATAACCTCTAAAACTATAGTCTTTTGAACTTTTATAGGATGACAGACTGCCCTGCGAATATGATAAAAGAAAGTATGGACCCTAATATCCTAGAAAATTAAATCCACACACAAAAGTCCACAAAAAATTTCAAAAGTTTTATAGAGTGCATGAAGTTGATTCATACATTCTTTATGTAATTGTGAGGATTCCAGGTTTGGCAAACTTTCCTTTGATAGAAAATCTGGTCTCATTTCCTCATGTCTAAAGTAGAATAAATGATCAATAACGTTCTTCCAGCTAGATGTGAAGCGCAATGGAGAACAAAGTCTAATAGTAAACCAACCAATCTGAGTACTTGTAGGGATTGGGGTGGCTAGGTTAACAGAAAAGTAAGAAAGAACATTTGTACTTACTATGGCAAAAGGAAGATTAGGACTAAAAGTTAAGAAGATACAGGCTCTGCTATCCTGTAAGAATTTAAATCCAGAAAACATATGTGTATTTTCACAAAATCCTAAAAGTCGACAAAAGAGGAGAGTACCCACCATGAAAGCATTTCTATTACATGGACTTGTGAGTCAGAACTACAGGTTATCGTTTATTGAATGTGTAAGGTACTAAAAGGTAGCTTATTGCTAAAAAATGATATTTACATTAACATATGTATTATGTTTAGAATTATTTATGTCACATGTGGATAACATTACATTTCCTTCAATAACTTTATTCTTTATAAAATATATAAATAAATATAATAATTCAACTTCTAAAAGCGTTACCCCATGTAAGATGATAATGCTATCATCCTTCTAAATTTCCGCAAGGCATTCGTTTCTGGTTCCTTTATCTTCCAAATCTAGTAGCAAAGTGAAAGCTGAATTAAAATTAACTTGGACTGTGTGACATCATTTCCAGGGACAGACACATAAAGAAACAAAAGTCATTACATTCCATACAAAGAAGGAATTTTGGGCCCCCAGAAAAGTGACAGCAGAGTTGTTTATTGAGTTCTGCACTCGGGCACGTCTTTTCCTGGATAGGTGTGCTTGGGACCTCGCTGAGGGTCCATATTCTCTGCTCCTGCAGCTTGTACCTCTGAGGAAGAAAAAAAAATCCTATTCAAAAACACATGAAAACCACACACAGCTGGATGTGAAGATGTGAGAGCTAAGAGGAACACAAAATGGCAGTGTGGTTCACTGTGTTTGGTCATTAAAAGGGTGTATTTCACCTCATCAGAGTTGGAGGAGTTTATTCTTCATTTTGTCATAAAATAAACTGTTAGAAAAACCATATTATACATAAAACTAAGGAGTAATAAAGTTTTATTTGGAATTCATCATTTTGAGATTCCAGTGAATCAAACGTGGATTGAGACTGACTTTCTTTCAACCTAGTTTTTGAAAAAATGGGGTGCTAAACAAAAAGTTTGTATTTTATTTTACTTTATTATTTCTGGGAACAGAGTCTCACTCTGTTGCCCTGGGTAGAGTGCCGTAGCATCATAGCTCACAGCAATCTCAAACTCTTGAGTTTAAGCGATCCTTTTGCCTTAGCTTCCCGAGTAGCTGAGACTACAGGTGCCCACCACAACACCCAGCTTTACTTTCTATTTTTAGTAGAGACGGGTTCTCGCTCTTGCTCAGGCTGGTCTCAAACTCCTGAGCTCATCTGCCCACCTCAGCCTCTCAGAGTGCTGGGATTACAAGTGTGAGCCACTGTGCCTGAACAATAGTTTGTGTTTTAGTCATCTTTGGAAAACTTTGAATCTTCAAAAAGTACTTCAGCTGCACATCTATTTTTTTTATAAATAATATTCAGTTTAAAATTATTATATTTATAAAAGTAAATAAGTATAGCATAACTGATCTTGGCAACTGTCTTAATTTTTTGAGTTATTTTATACTTTTTATAATTAAAAATGTCAGTTTTTAAAAGTAACATTTTTTTAGACTTATGCTACTAATTCAAATGGGAACTAGCTCTTTAATTCTGTTTCAATTTTATCGTATGTACTGCTAAAGCAAGCACAGGTTGTTTAATTCTGAACTGGAATTTTTTTTTTGGACTCTTTGAGTACTGTCTGTACCGCCCCTTAGACTGTAAGCTTTGAGGACAGGGGCTGTGCCTGGTTTTGCTTGTCAACACACCCTCAGGGTCTAGTATCTAACACACAGCAGGGCTAAAAATACCGTGGTGACTGCATGAATAAATAAGCAAATGCTGCAAGTCTAAGATCAGGCTTGCGTAAAGTGAACTCAATGCTACTGGACATACTGTGCATTGAACTGATAGGAAAGACTTTCAGTGAAATCTGTTTTGTTTTTAGAGAAGTATCTTCATGTTCTTGAGAGAATTGCTTGGCTATCTTTGGAGAAAACTGAGGGTTTAAGTGACAGAAGGATTTCAATTGGGGTAAAGTGGCTGAACTTTAGTGCAAGGCCTTGGAGAAATTTTACCTACCTGGACAAAGGCCTAAACTTGAGTTATCAAAATAGCGAATAGGATGAGGAGCCGGTAAAGACTTTGATCGGCTGTCAAAAAACCAAGATTGTGGTGACTCCTTTGGCACAGGATCTTGTAAATTCCATTCCTTGCATTGAGAAGGTGTAATCTGCCTCCTTTTAGAAGGTGTTCCAGTCACTTTGGGAGACTTAGGAGAGTTCTCACAAGTTACCCCTTTGTTAAGGGTTCTTTCCTTCCACGTTTTGACCTCACTGGAAAGATGACGATTATTGCTTAAATGTGGGGAGAAAAAAAGGAAGACTGTAAAACTTCTCAATTCTTAAAATGTATTCACATTTACATTAACAAATTTAAAATACTATGATGAAATACATTCAAAAATTCTTTTAACATGTTTACATTTTATTTTCAACCTAATGCTTCATGTTTGGACTAATTCTACTGTTCAGAAAATGAAGTGTATCTATATAAATGGAATAACTGTAGTAAACTTCCATGATCATGGAGTCTTAAAAAGAAAACTGAAAGTACGACATCAGGTTTTCAAACGAATTTGATGATATCACCCAGAGTGGTTTATCTATAGACACTTTGCTATAATAATGTAATAAATTAGTCTTCTGGATATAGGAATCTTTGGTGTACCATTCTTATTATAAAGGAAATATTACACTATATTTTCTAAAAGATTAGACAGTTAGCCTTGTTTTTTTTGAGAGAGTCTCACTATGTCATCCTCAGTAGAGTGCCATCACACTACTGTGCATCACAGCTCACAGCAACCTCAAACTTTTGGGCTTAAGCAATTCTCTTGCCTCAGCTGGGCCTATAGGTGCCTGCCACAATGCCTGGCTTTTTTTGGTTGCATTTGTCTTTGTTGTTTAGCAGGCCCAGGCCGAGCTAGAACCTGCCAGCTTTGGTGGATGTGGGTAGTGCCCTACTCACTGAGCTATAGGCGCCAAGCCAGTTAGCCTTGGTTTATATAGGAAATGCCATCAGCACTTATACAGTTCTTCCAGAGAGAAACCTGGGAAACAATCCTGGAGGATTGGCTCTCCTACTTCTAACCCATTATTTCATCAATCACCTGTTGATACAATTTCTTGATGCACTCTCAGACCTATCTTCCAAATTCATCTCCTATGTTTATCCCTATTGGGAACATTTTAGTCCATGCCAAAATTATCTTGTGCCTGGGCTACCATAAACAGAGTCTGAAATCAGTTTCACTTATAATGTCTAGCAACCAAAGACGCTCTATGATCTCATCAGGGCCTCCCCTCCAGTACAGGTCATCCACCCATTAAATTTAGGATAAAACCCCAAATTCCTGTGAATGACCTTCTAAGGGCCTTTCAGCCCCACCGCTGGTTACTCTTCCAGAGTCAAAGCCTGTGTACATGTATTCCCTTGGCCTACTTAGATGGTTTATTCCTCTTTTTGTCTCACCTAACCTAATTTCCACTTGTTTTTCAGGTCTATTCTTATACAGGCATACCTTGGAAATATTGCAGGTTAGGTTCCAAACCACTACAAAAAAGTGAGTCACACAAAATTTTTGGTTTCCTAGTGTACATGCAAGTTATATTTATACTATATTATAGCCGATTCAGTGTGTGGTATCATTATATCTAAAAAAAGTACATACATTAATTAAAAAATATTTTATAGCTAACAAATGCTGACAGAGACAAGAAGTGAGCACATGCTATTGAAAAATGGCACCGATGCAGCTGCTTGATACAGGGTTGCCAGAAACCTTCAACTGGCTAAAAACGGTAACAGCACCACCAGCACAGCTGCTAAGTGTGAAAAGCAGAGTGCAGTATAACGACGTGTGCCTGTACATTAGTTCTTGGTCACTACCTCTCCTCCCCAACACTTAAGTAATGTTAGATCCCCCTTTCATAATAGCATCCTTTTATCATGTCCTCTTGGGATTTGTTTTTTGCTTGTTTTAATGGCACTCATTACAAAGAATTGGTTATTTGTAAAATTATTTAACGTCTACTTGTCTTTTACTGAATCATTAGCAGAATGCTTGGCAGAAAGATCATTCACAGTGATAGAAGATAAAAAAATAAATTTGTTAGATCTGTTTATAAAGTCAAAAGCTACAATAATGCACTTAAAGAGTTCTTCTTTGAGCAAGGCCCCCTGGGCGTGGGGACATGAATTTGTGGTGTGTTTCAGCTGCCCCCTCAAAGGTCTTTGTATCCTTCCTGCTTCTTAGCTTAGTTAAAAATAGGTCAGCTGATAAGACAGCAAACACTGGGAATGGGGCTACCGTGTTCTTTTTTATAGACACTCACTACCTGACCTCTAAAAATTACTTTCCCTGTACTGTGTGAATGATTACCACCTGCAAAAATAGGTACACATGCTATGACCCTGCACATCTGTAACAGCCATAAGCATAACAGCTGCATCATGTAAGCAGATCTTACCTTAATAGTTCATTATTTTGCATCATTAGCTGTTCATTTTGTTCCTTTAATTTAGAAATTTTCTTTTCCAGCTTTAAATATTCACTTTTCAAAATAAGAGCTTTTGTGTTTTGTATAATGCCGCTTCCACCCCCACAGGTTAAAGGTTTATTTGAAGGCTGAGAATCATGTTCTGATACCACTGTGGGAGGCAAATACACAAATAGGTGATAATTTCAATTATTTCCAAAGTTCAAAATAAGGGAGACACCGAGGTACAATACTTACTAGGTACAGTGAGCCACTATAAAAATCAAATCTTCTCAACCATCGTGACCTTCAAAGTTACCTTGACTTTTTCCTTTTACCTCACCTACTCTACCTATTCGATCATCAATTCTAAATATCAATTCCACCACCATATCCAGCACACTACGATCTTTCATCCTGACTGCACCAATGGCAATCCTCCCTGACCTACCTTCTATATAGGGGATCCCCTGGACGGCTTGCTACCACCCAGTGTGTGCCTGTATGTGTAAGTGTATGTGGTCCACCCTCAGTCATTCAGTACATTATGAGTATTCAATACATACTTGTTAATACACCTTAGAATGATAAGGAAGCACATATTATTAATTATTCGGCACTGTGTGTGTACAAGTAGTAAAAAAGACTGTTTTGTAAATTGTAGGTACAGTTAATAGAAATGTGAAATGTTTGTAAAGTGGAATCATCTATTGAGTCACTGTCAATTCACAAAAGAGTGCTAGGGTATATGTATGGGGAGAGATTCTTGCTGTCTATTTTATTTTGAATCTAGGTATAGTATGTACCTGAAAGTCACATACAAATCAAGAGTAATTATCCTGAGCCTTCTATAACAAAGAATCTTCGCTATTTCTATTTTTATAGCTTGAAGTTTTCCAGATAGGAGATGTGACTCCTACAATAGATACTAGGAAACTTCAAGCTACAATAGGTAGTAGGCAACATCCTAAACATGACCTCTTTTTTCTTTTTTTAAATGAGTAGACAATATAAGCCAATATCATCTTATATTTTGCTTGGCATTTAGAATCTTCAGTGTGCTTTCATACACACCTTTGGCTTGTTCTTTATAACAAGCATATATACGTATAAGCTTATAAGCTAGATGTTCAGATGATCACCCTGAGATTTCACATAGCCATTAAGTGAGACCTGCGCCTGACTTTTTAGTTCAGTGCTTGTTGTACTACATGAAGCTATCCCAAGTACTGTTTAGCATTTTCTTTTCAAATAAAACCCAAAGAGACAGTAATATGGAAAAAGATAGTCTAAGAAATGTGTAAGCAGAAACACGACCATTAGAAGTGAAAAGTATGCCTAAGATAAATTTCAGAGTTTTGTAAATACATATTAACTTGGTATTTTTGGTCTGAAGAACACTCATATTTATTTGTTGTTACTGTACACCGATTACAATTTATTAGGTGCATAAAATCTATATTGGTATAGATTGACATTCCTTTTCTTAGGAAGGGTACTTCTACATTGATTAATTTTTGCACTACTGAAAATATCTTCACTAATATGTAAAGAACTGAAAATGCAAAAGTAGAATTCATATATTTTTCAATAATCTATAATGGACATATAGTCAAGATTATAGCAAACTAAGGAGATGTCACAAGATGAATCTGATTTTAATTCAGTTGAAAAATAGATTGGTGGTTAACTTAGGCTTACTCTTGATAGTCACATATGTAACAGTAGTCTTCAAGGTCTGTTATAGGCATACTGAGAAGTAAAATAGAAAGGATCTGAAAGTATTTGTACTTTTTGCTTACTTGTGGTATCCTGGGCCTGTTGAATTCTTCTAAGATTTTCTCTCAGTAGTCTTATAACTTCTTTTTGATGTTCTATGGTGGATTTTGCAGAAGTAATTCTAACAAGAATAAAAATATGGAACTGATTTTTATGGGAGAATAAACAGAACTGCTGTCAAGAATTTCTCAATATATCACACTGATATAATATCCCTAAGTTGCAGTAGATAGGGCCTTATGATATCTCTCTGGTATCATGTTCTTTACGGTTATAATGCCATAAAATTAGAAGCATTCTCTTTAGGTGTAGGGAGAGTCCAATTTTCTTAATATTGAAGAAACAGTTTTTCTAAATTTTGGAAGGCCCAAGAGCTATTAATTAGATATTAAACAAAGTTATACCATAAAACAAATAATTAAGCTGTTACCATGGGGTCCCAGAAATGTCTTAAAGGTAAAATTAATAGAGCGTGACAGAGAAAAAGCAGTTTCACTTCTGCATTGTCAGAAAGGACAGAAAGGAAAAACCTGACTAGAGCTCTGGTCTAAGGTGGTACAGGCAGAGATCAAATTCTGATCATTGTTTCCCATTAGAGACATTCTATGAATTGTTAAGTTAGGCATTAATTATCAATGATACATTTTAAGATTTTCTGCCCGTCTTAATGACATGAAAGTATCTGCTGACTTTACTCTATAAGCAAAATTGCTTTTTATAATTAAGAACCTAGTAGGTATACGTTTCATTAAAACCAATTGGTTTTGCCAACAGATATCTGGTCAGACAGTATGAACATTCAGAGTGCTGCTTTTTGGGCACAATTAGAGGTCACCATTAAATATTTATTTAAGATTTATAGAAGTGTTAGGAGCCAGAAGACATTTTTAACAAGTCTAATATAAACCTCTCCTTTTGTTGATAATGAATGAGAGGACCAGAGAGATTAAATGGCCTAATGTGATGCATTAGTAAGCAGAAATATATTTCTAGTTCTTTTGACTCTGTTTAATGTTCTTTTCATTATGCGATATCTCAAAGAACTTCAGGCATGCTCTTATGTGTAATGTTACTTCTATATAATGGCATGCATGAAGAAATCAATACAAAGAGGACATGTTCTTGGGCCCTACACATTATAAACTAAAAGGAAATACAACCTTTACACAAAAACGCAATAGGAATAAAAATGAAGAGAAACAACAGAAACCTTACTCCAACTGCTGAAGACATCCCTCACAGAGATACAGACACTAAAGATTCTTAGCAGTCATTGTCAAGCATAAGAAAAACCAATTTTTAACTTTTTTTACATGATTGAGGAAGAAGCATTCAAAGACTCAATGTGTTAATTGATCAGAATTGTGCTTACTGTAAAAAATTTTGCATATACAAAGTGGCTATCAAGTTTGCAGCCACAAACTTTATGGCCACTCTGTATAATGAGAATTTAATGAGTTGAAAATCTACAGGTATTGGTATTCTTTGAAAAAAGCAATAACAACATATATTCATATTTTAAAAAGTTAACTAATCAAAGAGGTTTATGTAATTCAGAATGAAAATTTAAGCTATTAAAGCCACATTCAGTTAAGGCAAAGACATACTCCTTTTCAAATTCTTTGGCATTTTTCATTTTCTCCAGGTCTATTTTCACCAGCTTTGTTTTGAGATCTTCAATTTCTTCTCTATAGGGCTTAGCTCCTAAAGCAACTTTGTCCTGTGTTGTTTTAGAGAAAAAAACATTATTAGACCAGTTTCAGTTTCTCCAGTTTTAAAGAGTGGTTGGCAGGAAGGCAAAAAATTTAACTAATAATAACTATTTGATATGAATTATACTAGAAGCTAATATGTAGCTAGAGATATAATTTTTTATATTTTAAAACGAATATTTTTCCCCAGTAGAATATTTTTCCCCAGTAGTAGTTGTACACATTACTCAAGATCCCTTCAAATCGTAATGTTAATTATAACTGTGATTACTTTTCTAAAGATAGACTATTAACTCCCTGGGGAAAGTGTCCATGCCAACTTTCTTCAGTGATTTTTTAAGTTCATATACCTACAAAATAAACAGTAGTTCATATACCTACAAAATAAAAGTTTGAAAATAATGCAATGGGTGCGCCAAAGTAAACCAGCTAAACGAAACAAAACGATGTAGAGGCAGCAATGTACGCATCAAACCAAAACTAAATTCAAGCCACAAAACAAAGCATTGCCAGGTATACCTTGTACTGAAAGACAGTCTAATCCAGGGATACCAATATGCCAACATTCCCCTCAGAATTTATGTGCATAAACTTCTAAAAAAGTAATAGACTTTTGAACTGCAATTTTAGGCTTACAGAAAAATCAAAATATAATGGGATTTCTTACATATCTCTGTCCCCTACCTCTTTTCTTTATTTTATTTATGTCTTTTTTCTGAGACAGAGCTAGAGTGCAGTGGCACCATAGTAGCTTACTGCAACCTCAAACTCCTGGGCTCAAGCCATCCTCCTGCCTCAGCCTCCAAGAGCTAAGATTCCAGGTGTATGCCACCATGCCTGGCTAGTTTTTCTAGGGATAGGATTTTGCTTTTGCTCAGACTGGTCTGATCTGGCCTCTAGTGATCCTCTCACCTCACAGAGTGTTAGGATTAGAGGTGTGAGAAACTGTGCCCTGCCCTTTTCCCTCATAACATCATGTATTAACATGGTACATTTGTTACAAGTTATGAACAAATACTGATATATTATTATGTAGTTAAAATCCATAGTTCACATTGGGTTTCTTATTTGTACTGCACATCTGTGGGTCTTGACGAATGTATAATGTGTCCATCATTACAGTATCATACAGAATAGTTTTGTTGCTGTAAAACTCTCTGGTGCTTTGACTACTCAGCCCTCATATCCCTACTAATTCCTGGTAATTGCTATAATTTTATCTTTCCCCAAATCTCATATACTTAGATATCGTCTAGTACATAACTATTTCAGACTAGCTTCTCCGGCTTAGCAATATACATTTAAGGTTCTCCCACGTCTTCTTATGGTTTGATAGCTCATTTCTTTTATAGATTGCTGAATAATATTCCATTGTATGAATATACCACTGAAAAGACATCTTCAAGGAAGAGAAGAAAATTTAAAATTGTACATTTCTAAATTAAAGGAACAGATTTTTGAGGCATCTCAAGCACACCTCAATTTGGTCCCTGGATCTGATATTTAGATAAAGTCCAGTGGGCTTTCTGACTTTAACCTTATTAAAAGGGTGAAGACCCTCAGTGGCCCCACTGTTTCTGTGGCTGTTTTGTTCATCATTTGTCTATGTGGCTTCCTTTCAGTCTGTGGGTATGTCAGAGGACTTCAGAGACACCCCAAGACATGGAGAAGCAATGCTGGCAATGGCAGTCCTCAACAACAGAAGAGGGAGACATGTGGGTGGAAACTGATGAGGGTTATTAGGTTATGGAGTATGAGGAAAGGAAACTGTTTACTTGAAATATTAATTGAGATTCATGAAGTGATTTTTTGATTAGAGTGTGGATTGTGAGGCAAGGGATAAAGGACTAATGGAGAAAGTGAATCTTAGGGAAAGTACGTGTGGAGGGAGACCACAGTGTGTAACAGGAGCCACCCACGTCTGTTATAAACGACAGCTCAGGTCTTAGAGAAACAGACAAGTAATGTCTTTCTGAGGCCTGACATTTTCCCCACAGAGTCTGTACGAAGGTCTGGGAGGGCCAAGTGGGCCACCTCAATATGCATTGGGAACAGTGTGAGCAGCTGACTCTTAGAGAAGAGGAAAAGTCTCTTGGTGTTACATAAAAGGGAAAAAACCTTGTCTCCCCCGCTGCCGATATGGGTATGGTGTCAGCCTGTTTGCCACACAGGGACCCAGGGACCCAGGGACTTAAGTGCCTCCTGTGGAAACTGTGTGCGTGGTCCAACCTGCCACTGCTGCACATCCTCCTTCGAAGCCCAGTTCCTCGTTCTTTAAACTGCCTTCCATTTCCTTAGCTCATAATCAGAATAGGATGGAACAGTGGAAGATCATAAGAGGTAGTTAAAGAAATTGCAAACATTATGAGAATGATGCCATATGGTGTGGGTTTTTCTTTTTCCTTTGATTATTCATGTGCTGATTTAATGATAATGTATGTAATAAATACGGAGTCAGCCTAGAGCATGGGACCTTCACTGTTCCTTGCACTGGTGGCATTGGTCCCCTGGGCCCACTCTTTTTACAAGTTATTCTGTCTTTTTGTCTTTATTTCTCCCATTCTCTCATCACTGCCAAGCATTGGGGATACCTGCGGGGGTGTGGGGGCTGGCCCCCTACATACTTGCGATCTGTTTAGCCATTGAAAGACAGCTTGGCTGTTTCTAAGTTTTGGCAAATATGATATACCTGCTATCTGAGGTCTGACAAGTTTGTGGAATTGCCACCATGTGCTTAGGTTGGCATCACTGTGCAAACACCTCCATATGGGTTCATGGCCCTGCTATCTCAGTGTCTCACAGCTGTGTTTGTGTTGATATGTGCAGGTTTCTGAGTGGGGTTCATTAATGTTGTTGCACGTCCTTGTGTGCTGTTGTGTGAATGCTGCAGCTTGAATTAGGGGAATGAATAAACATCAAATTTCCCTTTAAACTTGGCAAAAGTGGAAGTGAAATCAGGGACATGTTATTCCAAGTTTATGGGGATAAGGCCATAAAGAAAATGGCAGTGTACAAATGGATTAAACATTTTTCTTTTTAATCTGTGTATCTTTTTTTTCTTTAATTAAATCATAGCTGTGTACATTAATGCCATCATGGCGTACAACGTTTTACACACAATCTGAAATGCTTGCATCAAACTGGTCAACCTAGCCTTCACGGCATTTTCTTAGTTATTGTGTTCAGACATTTATAGTCTACATCTAGTAAATTTCACATGTACCCCTGTAAGATGCACTGTAGGTGTGGTGAGGGGTAAGAAAGAGTCACTGATGAAGAGAGGTCAGGATGGCCAGTAATGCGCAGAACTGACAAAAACATTGTGAAAATTTGTTGAATGCTGCATCAAAATTATTGGCTGACTGTGAGAAGGACAGCAGACCAAGTAAACATCAGCAGAGAAACAGTTAAGAAAATCTCAGCATGAGAAAGGTACGTACAGAAATGGGCTCCTGCATCACAGCAATGCACCAGCTCACATGACACTGTGAGCAGTTTTTAGCTAGGGACTAATTAACTAACTTGAAACGAAACACTCTCCTCACTCCTCCAATTTGGGCAATAACTTTTTTTCTTTGTCCAAAGATAAAGGAAATATTGAAAGAAAGAAATTTTTATACCATTCAGGACATCAGGGGTAGTATGATGACAGTTCTCATTCCAGAAAAAGAGCTCCAAAATTGCTTTAAGGGGTGGCCTAGGCACTGGTGTCGGTGCATAGCTTCCCAAGGGACATTCGTGAACCTCATTATCACAGCCCATAGATACGCACATGCAGCTTTTGGGTGGACATGTTTTCAACTCCATTGCTGGAGCATATTTTATTTAGTTTTTGTAAGAAACTGCCAGATTGTCTTCAAAATGACCATACTATTTTGCTCCCACCAGCAGTGGATGATGTTTCTGCTGTTCCATATCCTCCCAAGAATTTGGTGTTGTCAGTGTCTTGGATTTTGGCTGTGCTAGTAGATGTGGCTCTCCTTTGAATTTGCAATTCCCTAGTGACGTGTGATGTGGAGTATCCCTTTTACATGTTTTTCTGTTGTCTTCTTTGGTGAGGTGCTAGTTCAGAACTTTTGCTCATTTTTAAGTTGTATTGTTTTCTTATTGCTGATTTTAAGAGTTTTTTTATATTTTGGATAACAAGTCCTTTATCAGATATGTCTTTTGTATACATTTTCTTCTACTATGTGACTTCTTTTCTTATTTTCTCAACAGTGTTTTTTTGGCAAAGTGGAAATTTTGAATCTTAATAAAATCCAATTCATCAGTTTTTTCTTTCATAGATTATACTTTTGGTATTCAAAAAGGCCCTCTCAAGATCATTTAGATTTTTCTTCTATGTCATTTTCCTGGTGTTTTCTAGCTTTTCATTTTACCTTTGTGTCTATGATGCATTTTGAGTTAATTTTTGTGAAACATGTAAGTTCTGTGTCTAGATTCATTTTTTTTTTTTTGCTAGTAGATGTCAAGTTGTCCTGCCCAGGCTCCAGTGTGGTAAGTATTCACAGGTGCGATCCTGCTACTGAGCAGCACTGGAGTTCTGACCTGCTCTGTTTCTGACTTGGGCAAGTTTACCTCTTCTTAGGCCATCTGGTGTCCTTCTAGGTCTCCTGGTGCTCCCAGGAGGTCACTGTACTGCTGCTGAACTTAGTACTGACATCCGGTTGGCAAAGCTCACTACAGCCCGGAACTGCTAGACTCAAATGACCCTCCTGCCTCAGCCCCCTGAGCAGCTGGGTGAACAGGTGCCTGTCACTGCACCTGGCATAGCATCATTAGTTGATAAAACCATCTTTTTCCATTGAGGAGCCTTTGCTCTTCCATCAAACATTATATGACTATATTGGAGTGAGTCTATTTCTGGGCTCTCGTCTCTGTTCCACTGATCAGTTTGTTCACATATTGTCTTAAAAGTTAAAAGAAACCTCAAAAAAAAAAAATTCCATTTACCAAAAGGAAAATATCAATGTATCCTAAAAATGTAGAAATCACACAGGTAGTTTTTGACCACATGTAATGAAAGAAACTAGTTACATAAAACACTGTTTAAAGGAATTCTTGTTTCAGAGAAATGAAACTTAGAAATACTGATTCAGAAAAGAATAACAAGAACTCCTTATTTCAACCATGTGGCATGTGGCCAAAGGTGTGCTCACAGAAATATTAATTGCATTAAAAAGTGTTACTGATAAACTGCAAAGACTAAAAACATAAATTAAGCTCTTAGTTAATATTACCTGCATTTTGGATGGATTCTATTGAGAAACTTTCCTTATTCCACCAAAAAGGGAAGTCTTTTGAGTTTCTGATTTTTTTTTTTGAGACGGAGCCTCAAGCTGAGCCCCTGGGTAGAGTGCTGTGGCATCACAGCTCACAGCAACCTCCAACTCTTGGGCTCAAGTGAGTCTCCTGCCTCAGCCTTCCAAGTGGCTGGGACCACACGCACCTGCCACAACGCCCGGCTATTTTTTGGTTGCAGCCATCATTGTTGTTTGGTGGGCCTGGGCTGGATTTGAACCCGCCACCTTAGGTGTATGTGGCTGGTGCCTTAGCCGCTTGAGACACAGGCACCGAGCCAAGTTTCTGATTTTAACTACATTACATTTAGAAAGTAATTTAGGAAAAGCTCATAGCTGCTCCCACCTAGGTAACAGTGCATCTAATATTTAAAATCACATGCTCTCTGATGCTGTATTTTTTTCATACTTTTGTTGTTTTCTTCAATATGTTGCCCTCCTTTTTGGTTAGGGTTAGTCACTCAAGCATTTTGTCTCAGATTTTGTGGGCATTATAATCTTTTTTCTTTATCATACAGGATGTTCATAAAGTTCTAGTGCAGTTTAAAAATTTTTAACAAATTTGAAGAGAAAAACTCAAATTAAGGTAGGGGGCAGGGGAATGAGGGCACAGAGAGAGGGGAGGATGGAGAAGGATGGGGAGTTACAGTGTATGGCCCACCTCTTGGGGGCAGGACACAATTATTATTAAGAGGGATTTTTTCCTAACAAATGCAATCAATGTAACCTAATTCTTGGCACCCACTATGAACCCTGGACAATAAAAAAAATTTTTTTTGAAATTCAATGTTACTTGATAGAAACAATTTGTAAAGATACAAAAGAGGAAATTTATTCAGATTTTAATACAATTATTAATGATTATTATACTGGACAACTATCTAGGTATATTCACACAGTGGTGAGTGGGTTCAAAGGTAATATTCTTGCAACTAAATATGATAAATATTGAAGTAAATATTGTTCTGCAGTCTACTGATTTTTAATATGATATATAGAAACGATTAAAAAATTCAAATGGTGAAGAGATTTTATTGCATTTTGCTTTCTTTCCTCATGGGTACTAAATAAAGCCATACCTGTTACATCATCTATATGGTTACTTCTGATACCAGGAAGGATTTCACTCTCTCTATCGATACCTGCGTCTATACAGCATTCTGATATTGAATGCTGAAGAAACGTGCTGCTCACTCCCTCTGTCTGAACACAGTTTCTTCACGCTGTGAAGAAACTGGAACCACTTTTTCTAAGCTTCCCTCCTACCTCACTGGCTGTTCTGCCTCAGTAGTTAGATAAGCAATTTTTTTTAAAAGATAAGAGACAAACATTTTAAACTATTAAAACATTTATGTCTTTTAAAATTCATTTTCCTATGGGGGGGGGGTGGCGCCTGTAGCTCAAAAGAGTAGGGCGCTAGACTCATGTGCCAGAGGTGGTGGGTTCAAACCCAGCCCCAGCTAAAAACTGCAAAAAAAGAAAATTATTTTCCTAGCATGAAAAAAATCAATATTTTATATGACAATATAGTCTTGCATTTCATTTCTATGTTAAGTTGCTTCCTTTTTTTAAGCTTAAGTATTTAAACTGCAGACACACACTGGTAATAAGTCCTGGTGAAAGGGAAGAATAGACACCAAGTTCTCTGTCACGTGCAATAGGTTAAGACCCACAACAACTACTTTTGTTTATGAAATGAGTTTAAGTTACCTGAAGGACTTGGATTACTTCTTCTTTCTTTTCATGGGTTTTATGTAATTCAGAAACTTTGGCTTCGAGTTTTGTTATCACATCATCAGCCATCTCGAATTCTTTCTGCATCTTTCTAATCTTGTCTTCCTTCTGCATAGCGCTTTCTTTAGCTTCACGCAGCGAAGTTTCCAGCTCCTGAATTTTCTGTCAGACAAGCACACATTCATAAGGTCTGTCATGAGGACAGAATCACAGTACATAAACCCGAGACAAAGATGCTCCCATCTAGGGATTTATTAATTTTTCACAGATAGCATTAATAAAGAATAGAAGAGAAAGGGCAAACATTGCTCTATAGGCACGTTATTTCCTTCATTAAAAAGATGACTTTCAGGAAAAAAAATCACTTTTGGTTAAAAAATGCCAAAAGTTTACATTGTAATCTGTCTGCAAATTCTTAAACCATGCAGGTGAAAACAGCACAGTGCTAAGCTTAGTAAACAGGCACTCGCATTTTAAGTGAACACTACTTAAAGCACATTCTTTAATAGACTCTCTAAAGTAATATAGATATCTTTCCTTTATTTTTATTAATTAAATTAAATTAAAAAATGAAAATGTGGTAAAAATTAGAAAGCATATAATGATAAGTTTCCCCACCCTCAGACTCTCAGCTGATCCTGCAGCAATTTCCTTCTAGAAGTTTCCTCTGTGTCTTTAAACATGTATGAATACATAGTCTTCCAGTCAGTCGCACATGATATACTACAGTCCTGCTTTTAACCTGACAACATATTTTCCATATCTTTCCATTATCAACACATATAGATGGCTCATATTTTTCATCTTTATTGACAATTTGCATCTCATTTTATGGAGGTCTCATAAACTATGTAAGCAGTTGCCTTCCACTGAATGTTGAAGTTGTTTCTTTTTTTTGGTGAGTATAAAGTAGAATGAACTTAAATACCTGGAGTTGTCATGTGTATTTGATTATCCATACACATACACTTTTAAGTTTTTGGTCAAAATGTCTGTTCCTTTTGGTCTATCTGGAATTTATTTTTGCTTAATGAGCCTTATTTTTTTCTAGATGGCCAGCCTGTTGCATCCAACCGTGCACTAAGTAAGCCATCTTTTCCCCAGTGAGTGGAATGTCTGTTATGTTATACCTGAACTAAACC